TTATGAGCTATGATGGACAGTGTGACCTGACAGCTGTTTGTTCAGCTTCATTGGCAAGGTAATTAAAAACAATTGTGTACTTGGAAAGATAACACTTTTATTTCAGCATGTGGACTGAAGGCCAAACTGAATTTGCACTCGGTAATCCACGTTTTAGGAATCTTTCACTTGAAAAAAAAAAAAAAAGAAATAAAAGGAAATAAAAAAAACAGCTTGGGGAGAAGAGCAGATCCCAAGGTGCAGTTTCCGGATGAGCATTTCATAATGAAATACTGCAACAATTTACTGTGCCAGTAAACTCTATGTCACTTTTCCCTCAATCACAGGCAGTGGTTCCATGGTGGACAGTAGGTTGGGTTTTAGTTCTTGGTTTGAACTATGTTCCCTTCAGGAGAAGCATTTGGGTGAGCCTTCCTAGAAAGAGGGAGGTAAGGGAGTGCTGGGGGCTGCAGGGGAAGGGAGTGTGAGCAACCTGGGAAAGGCTGAGTGAGCAACCACATAAGCCAGATGTGACAGAAAGAATGTCTCAGTGACTGGAGGAGGCTGCAGTGCCACCAAAACTCTGAAGGTTTCAGAAAACAATTCAAAACAAGCATGGAACCTACCTGCTACGCCACAGTGGGAAAGCTGTAGATAAACAATATTTTTAAAAAGAAACTTATTCTGTCTCCCTCTGACATTTTATGTTTCTTTTTCAAAACTTGAATGTCCTACTGTTTATTTTTATAAAATCTAACATTGTTTTTTAATTTTTAAAGTCTTCTATTCTCACAATGAGAGATGATCTCAGCACATTCATCTCAAACGTCTGTTTAGCTTGGTTCCTGTAACATATCAAAGATTATGATCTTATTCAACAACTCCTCTTGCAAGAATTTTACAGACCACAGACTGGCATTTTTGCTTACAGACTGGAACTGTATCTGAAAAGTTAAGCCCCTCAGAGAAAGCATGGTTAAGCCATTGCAAAGCAATTTGTATTATTCACACACTGCTGAAGTCTGTGTTATCGTCAGAGAATAAAGCATAACTCCTGCAAGTATCTTAAGCAATGAATGATCGCTTAACACTACAAAGGACCAAACGAACCAAAAAGTATCTACTAGGCTATTTAGGCATATATAAATAGGACTTTCATTTATATTTTCAAACAAAAGTGAAAGCAAAAGGACAAATAGTTGGAAGATGACAAAATATCTATTTAGAGCTAAGTTCTCTAAATTTTCTTTCAGTTCTGCCTAAGTTTTTATTCAACTTCTCTAAACAGGACTATGGAAACTGTAATATATCAAGTTATCAGAAGTGGTATATGATGTTTATGAGTGGGATACTGTCAAACAGAGGATATAAAGAGAAGAACATATTTGGCAGTAATAGATGAAGCTGAAGGGTTAAATAGCGCAGTTCGGAGGGATCAGATCTGAAATAACTACTGGAATAACCAGTGTAAACCAATAAAAGCAGTCATCAATCTGAGGCCAATGCTTATGGAAGTCAACAATGTTCTGGCACTGAATACTTTTTAATAAACGCAAAATATTACAAGAGGCAAGGGATTTAGGAGCTCCACAGCATAGGGAAAAATACTAAACAGGTAGTATTCTATGCTTCATATGCTATTGCAAACAACAAAAGTCAGCACCATAGCCAGCACATGAGAAGAAATGCAAAACATAATTTTGCAAGCATCAGTAAAATGAGCAAAGAGAATGAAAGCATCACTAGCTCATGTAAATTTTTCAAGAGGTGGATACTGCAGTAGGAGTTAAAATTATACGTTGAAATATCTTTCTAAATGCAAACATTCTGAGTGAATTTTCAGCCGGACATGGGTATGCAACCAATAATACAAAACGGTGTTACTAATAAAAGAAGGCAAACTACATGCATTAGAGACCAGAATGTGAGGACAAGGAATACTAGCTACATATTTAAAGGCTGATGTCAGTTACCAAACTTGCAGTAAGACACAGGGGACAGAATATGCAGAACATATGTAGAGAATACAGTAGTATATGAAGCAAAACAGCCAGAGTAAAAGATAATTTTCAATCTGTCCATCATGGGAAAGATCTCTTAATTTCTTTTATGAGTAAAAAAATAAATTGCAGACTTCAACATTCTCAGTGTTAGTCAGGGGATGTCAAAACTCATACACATAGACATACAATGCCATTTCTTTACTTTACCTATCGAAATACCCTGAAGGAATATAGTAAGATCTTCACATCTATCCTCTTATCTAAACAGATTACAGGCAGTTAAAAAAGAACAGGAAAGACTGAAGGAAGAGAGTTTCAGGATACGGTGACCAGAACAAATGGAAGTTATTTTTAATAGCTGCAGTGTTTGTTTAAGAAGAAAACTCTTGGAGGTCCAGGTGCAGCATACCTCAGGGCCTGATCGGGCATTCATATGAAAGTAAACTTTCAGGTGCAGTAACAATATTTGTAATCGTGTTTTATGCCATTGATTTAAGAGTTGGTGAGTTAAGTTTTGGTTGGGGGAGGAAGACATAGTAACACAGATTGTGTCTCTCCATGGCAGAGACCCCAGGCACAGGGGTATCACTATCATACACACTAGTCAGCATGTAGTTGAAGACTAAAGTGGGTGTTTCACAGGTGCCACAAAATATCATCCCTGAATGATGAAAGGGAGGCAGGGTACTCTCAGTTTACATCTATACCTGAGATGAACAGACCTCATGTCTCAGGAAACAAAGCTGGTAAGCAGCTGGCATTGGGAAAACTTCTCCCATGGTTAAACTCTTCCATGGTTTTGTGCCTTTGAAATGGCACAAAGTAATTTATGCTATCCATTGAGACACTTGGAAATTTTTATACTCAGAAAGTTGGCCTAGGTAGTTCATTGGTTTGTTCCACTATCATAATTATAATCATTAAGTTATAAAGACACTGTACAGATTTGTGAAAAAACTGTGTTGAGCCAGGTTCAAACAGGCTGGACAAGGAGGACCAGGACTAAAGCAGGGACTGAGGTGTTCTGCATACTTCTTCCCAGTTTAAGGGGGTGCTTTGCCAGGGAGTTTTCTGGGTAGGTAACTATGGACCAGTTCTTAAGTGCCAAAAAGACATTAGGACAACTAGAAAGATTTCAAAAATATTACATTAGTTGTCTAACTATGCCGATAAATGTTTAAACACCTTAATGTCTAAAAAAAACCCTATAATCTTTGAGATTTATGTCTCAATTTTTCAATTACTAAAATGTTTTCATACTTCATAATTGTGTCCAATCACACACACACAGAAAAACCCACCATTTCAGGTTGCTACAGTAAAATTACCTGAAAGCTAAGAAAAAAGATTAATTGGACTGCTTTTTCATTTGCAGGGATATATCACACTCTTAGCAAATTACTTTATACAGCAAAATAAAACCCCATTGATAGTGTCCACTGTGATTGTTGAGTTTGTTTCATCTTATGTATAATCATCCTATTGTACATGAGTGGGCGTGGGTGATTCATTTGAGCACATGCAAACTTCTAATTTTCAATGTTTTGCCAGGTTGCTGTCAGTGGCACATTCACCAAGATACAAATTTGTGAAAATATTCTTGATCGATTAGACTTCAAAATTATGATAGATATGTATTTTTGAACCTTTTCTAAAAACATAGATTCTTCTCAAAGAGTGGGGAGGATAACATTTTCTTATAAAAGACAGGATTTGCACTATAACTTTAAGTAAAAACAATAACAATCTATAGCATCTATAATCTATAGATAGCAATCTATAATATCGGTATGTAAAAGTCTTGCTGCACAAACTAGAATGTTAGTAGTAATAGTTCTAATAATTTCAATAAGAGTATTTTCCTAGAATATATGGTGGCTGCAATGAGAGCTGGATTTTAAAGAGTTACAAAGCCTATGAAGATCCAGAGGCCACTGAATTAAAAGACATACAACTTGAGTAGTCTTAAGCTCCTGCAGAGATACTCCATCCACTCAGTGCATCTGCTGTTCCAAAAGTCATTTATATAAGCAGCATCTAGACTTGCATTTACTTTTTTTTTTCCTCAGCTAGGACGTCAGTGGCTGCTGTATGACGTGTTAAGGTCAGCAATGGGAAGAGGGATCAGGTAAAGATCATATTATCATGGAATCACATAATTACAAAATGGTTGAGGTTGGAAGAGACCTCTGGAGGTCATCTGCTTCAAGGCCCCTGCTCAAGCAGGACCACTTAAAGCAAGTTGAACAAGACCATGTACAGATGGCTTTCTAATACCTCCAAGAATAGAGAGTCTAAAACCTTTCTGGGCAACCTGTGTCAGTATTTAGTAAATGTTGAAAATTTTAACCACTGAAATGGTAAACATTTTCAGTTGTTTACAGTGAAAATGTGTTTTGTGAAGTTTAGACAGACTCTCCTGTGCTGCAGTTTGTGCCCATTGCCTCTAATCCTGTCATTGGGCATCAATGGAAAGACCCTCTTTGCATCCTCCCTGCAGGTATTTTGATACATCAATAAGATCCCTATTGAGCCTTCCCTTCTTCAGGCTGAATAGTCCCAGCTCTCAGCCTTTCTTCATAGGAGATATGCTGCAGTCCCTTCGTTGTCTGCATGGCCTTTCATGGCCCTGGCCTCCAAATAGACTTTGTTTCACTAATCACCACTCTCTGGGCCTGGCCATTTAGCTAGTTTTTAATCCATCTCACTGCATCCTCATCCAGTCTTTATATTAACATCTTGTCTACAAGGATCTTATGGAAGACAGTGTCAGAGGCTTTACTGAAGTCATGTAGGCAATATCCATTGCAATGATTTTCTCATCCTAAATGTGGCTGGAAATGGTTTTCAGGACTAGCTGCTTGATCACCTTCCCAGAAATCAAGTAGATCCACAATAGCTGGGTTATATATGGATATATTGGTTTGAAATGGTTTAAACGTATTATGGCTTCAGCAATCTTTGGCGGAAGACTCCATAGGTACTCCAAACACAGAATAAAGTCAGTAGCAAATGAGCAAGGAAAGAAAACACATTGTATGAGTCTACTTCTTTGCTGCTTCTGAGTTCAGTACAGGAGAGTTCATTAATTGGACAGTACAATAGGATTCATTACATACACTACAACACGTCTTAGCCTTTAAAAACTACCTTATGCATAACTTTCCTTTCTCCTCCTACTCTGTATTTCCAGTTCAAAAAAAAGGAACAACAAGCCATATATCTGCAGTACTTCAGGTCTGCTCTAATTTAACTAGGCCCTTAGAGTTAAACACCATGTCACACATTCTGGTGTTTGGCCATCCCTGTGTTTTTCACACAGCGCAGAAAGGCTAATTGTTTTCCTGAGGTAATGTCATGTGCCAGAAGTGGCTGGGAAGGAGTCAGATAATTAACCAAGCTCCTGCTGAGAATGTAGACCTTTTCCCTTTTATTTTCCTTTTCAATAGGTTTCTTTTTTTCTCCCCTCTCAGAGCCATTATTAACTTCTCCTTAACTGTTATAAATTGCAGGGAGTGGACAATCTGAAACCTAACACATGGAAATGAAAGGAAAGGAAAAAAGAAATTATTTTCTTAAAAAAAATAAATCATGTTCCATAAGAGAATATTAGAACTATGTAGGCGTAATCACAGTAAAAACTTTGTGGTTTATTAAAAATAAATCTTGCTCAAGGCATCCATTACTCATTTCAGCGTTAAATAGCAAACTTTCAAGTTTTAAAGGGATAAGGACCCTTCAGTTGGACTGTATCTGACAGCTGTCAATAATATGGCAACTTTTCGATATTTATTTTGCAGCTTTTATAGATATTTTATTGCTATTTTTTGGACAATCATACCCCTGCCCCAGATCCTGGTATCAAAAGAATAGATGTGGATGAATACCCTTAATGAAATTGTCCTTTTTCTAGGTGCTGTTTGCTTGCTCCATGCATAGACACCACAGTTGTTTGTCGCAAGCTTGGATTTTGTAATTTTCTCTTTCTGAGTTTACCTAATAGCTCCACTAGACTTTCTTCCAGGCCTGAACTGCTCCTCATACTAGAAGGCTGAGAGGATACCTACCTTCTGGCAGGCATCAGAGCCCATCTGGAGATACAAATGGGAGAGTCCCACACAGCACACAGTAACACTTATGCCAGTTTCTCGTCTGGAGGGTGAAAGAAGCACCTGTTCTTCATTAACATCACTGCTATGGCTAATACATTGCAGGTGTTAAAGTGTGTAGCTGAAATCTCACAAAACACCTGCCTTTCATAACAACACTAGATCTGCCTAGTGTGGGACGCTATCCCCTCAGGTATGTTTTATCCTACCTTGAAAGCCATAGTATGCATTGTCCTGTAATTATGAAATCAGAGTCATCATTTGCTGGGAAGAATTCTTTAACAAATTACACCTAATTACTCTAAAATTACCTTTAATTCATGGTAAAAGCATGGCTAAATGCTATTCTATAACACCTTCCTTTTTATCTTTATGTAAATATGATTACACACTATCAAACTGGCACAACCAGTCATAATAAACAGCTGCAGCTAGTTCTCTGGTTAGTAAATAAGAACTGGACATGTGCCATAAATTGTGTTTTCTGGAATCCTGCACAAAAAAATTGTCCCGTTCATTCCCTGACAAGACTAAGTTTTGCACTACCACTCAATCCAGGAATGTTTGAATCTGAGGTATTTGTTCAGTCCGTTATACAGACCAGAAACAGCAGAGGATCTGTCTCTGAATTTCTTCAAATACAGTGAGCATGTGGAGCAAGAGTTTGAGTTTATATCTCAATTTACTACCTCAGATGGCCAAAACACAGCTTACAGATCTCACTTAATTAATTTATTTCTGAGTAAGACACAGATTTATAAATGTATACAACTCGCCCAATTTTTTACTGTTCATATTATCAACTTCAGACAAGGTGTCCATTTATATAGGCTGGGAAGATAAAGTATTCAGAAACAAAACCTAATATGGAAATGCAAATTATTTCACTACATAACTACACAAAAAAAAATTACTTATGAGAATTTTTTTTTTCAAATAGTATCTTTTTTCAAAGATCATTAATTACCATATCATAGGTCATCTTTGTACATGATGGACTTCTTTCATGTCTATCATGAATTGAAATTAGGGTATCATAAGTTATTTTTTCCACTTTGCTCTCTTCTTCCAATCACTTTGCCATTTAGAAAAAAGTTTTAAACACTTTTTCTTGTAAGATGACTAATTAATATAAGTCCCTAGTAGCGCCCACACAAAAAACAGCAATGTTGAAGTTGACTTTTATACGTAATAGCTGCTTATTTCCTGCAGACAGATGTTTTCTGCAGTGGAGACAAACCTAAGGCATCCAATAAGATGCTTTCCTTTCCCCTTTCCCCATTCCCCTTTTCCCCTTTCCCCTTCCCCCTTTCCCCTTTCCCTTTCCCTGGTTTTTTTTTTTTGAGTAGGTTGTGGGAAATGTGCTTTATGTTTAAGCAGTACACAGTAAACCAGGATCTCAACCATGAGCATTACTGAGGCATTACTTCAGGCATTACTGAGATACAAAGAATCTTCATACTTCCAGGAATTTCTGATATATCACCTTTAGCAGCAGTTTTTCATTAGGAGTTGTCTCTTTAGAAGGTTCTCTCAGAAATTTAGAAAAATACAGTCACAAAGCAGTTAGACTAGCAGCTAGGACTAGACAATGTTATTTTATTGTTCACCGTTTATTCATTTTAAAAGAAAAATTTTTAGATGTCTCTATGGAAAGCATACTGAACTCACTCTAAGCAGTTTTATTTATGGGGTTTCCCTTTTCCAGTACGAAATGCAACTGGTGGGCCATAAATCAATTTTCAGATTTTCTTTAATGAAAACATTCCCTTCTTATTTAAGGCTTCCAATGCAGGATCATATTCCCTTCTGTGTAGCAAGACTGTCTGCTTGTTAAGCTCAAAGAAATAGACTCCTGAACTATTATAATCACAATCTACCAGTTCCCTAAATGTTTTCAGCAGTTTATTGCTAATTCAAATATTTGTTAAAATGTGGCCTCATTGTGTAATGATTATCAAGCTTTAAAGTAAATTATATTTTCAATATTTCAGTATCCTGATATGGCAAACTTTATATAAACGTTGCTGAGCAAAAAAATCCCTCATCTTTTGTATTAAGTTTTCAGCATTCTTACTGAAATAATACCTTCATTATACAGCAACAGAGCTGCAAAGCTTGTAGATGTGCTTATATGCAGCATTTTGATAGTCTTAATTTTCAGAGGGTGCATGAATCCTGTTTCTTTGAGCAGGTGGTAGAAGAGAGGCAATGAAAAAGGATCCAGTTGCATATAAGAAACAACTTTGAAAAGGCCTCTGTTAAGCATTTTGACTCTGTTAGGTGTAGTTCAGACTCAGCGACCCCTTTCCTACTACAATTTGAGCCATTCAGCTGTGAAACCTCCTATTCAAGCTCATTATTAAAGACAGTGTGGTGTATAAGTAAAGGCTCTCTGGAATGGGAGTGCTTTCAAGTTTTCATTACACTAGTATTGTTCTGGGCAGAATTATCATATAGCAATTTTTTGCTACTTTTGTGGAAAATTTTGCCCTGGGTGCTTACATACCAAGACCCACTAATAATCAAGCCATTAGCACCTTTGCCCACTGACCTGCAGTTGTAGATGGGCCAGCTGTAGCATAACCACAACTGCTTCCTTCTTACCAATTCTGTGTTCTAGAGCCAAATCCAAAGATCCAGTCCACCCTGAAACCAAAAGTACTCTGACATATTTCCTGGCAGCACAGGAATCCAAATGTACTTCCTTAGCAGTTATATGTAAGGAATTTGTGCCCTTCTTACCATTTCCCTCTATGCTTGTACTCTGCTCAAACACACACCAAAGCAAGCCCTAGAAGAACTGTCAAGACCTGTAGGACAAACCTTAACAAATTTGTTCTGAAACAGTTCTCTTTTTTCATACAAATATGGCCTTTCCTTTTTTCCTCAGTATCCTTATATGTCTTTAACCTGCTTTTTTGATCACTCCAACAGATTCTGATTGATATTCCTGGTCATTTTAATTTACTTTCTTTTAGTGGAAAGGTAAAGAAAGGATTATAGCTTCCCCCCAAACAGCAGCTGAATTGCCGCCAAGTAATAAGTATTTGAAAACACCAAATATTTTGGGGCCCAAAAATGGACCTAGAGAAGAAATATCTGTTAGGTACAGATACACATAAAATCTGAGGTGACGAGAGCACAAGTTTAGCGCCTCTTCAAGGGGAATGGTTGGTAGTCCAGCTGCCTGTTCAGAGAGGCCATAGCTGTCCCAGCAGGCTAGCATATATGTCAGTCTAGACCAGTGCCCCTGCCTGCTCCTTCCACCCAGTCAGGTAGAGATATAGGTATCACATGCAGGATACTGGAGATGCAAAAGGAGTTTGAAGTGCAAAAAGGTTTAAGGGTGATAACTGAGGTTATGGTGGTGTCATTATGAATGTTAAAATAGGACTCAAATTCACTGAAAACCAGGCTTCGTTCATTTTGTTACTTGCATACCGTGTTTGACATTCTTTATAATTCACTCTATATCTTTAGAAGCATTCTTTAATGATCCTAATTTAATCATGATGGACCTTCTCCCAAATGCTTTAAAAATGACATAATGTTGCAGTTTATAATAAACTTGGAGAAAAGCACATGCAAGTGATATCAAAATAGTTCATATTAGCTGCAGTACCAAAAATATAGTTTCTAAGTAAAACCACTCTTAAGTGTGTGTTTTCATGTGTATTTATATGACCATATATTATGCCAGAGGAAATTATTTAAAATGAGACAAAATAGTAAACAAAGCCCAGGCCAAAGCAGTAAAAGAACTGTACAGACTTCTTTAGGAGAAAAAAAAAAAGAAAGAAAAATAACCATATTTATGTCCATATAAATTCTGGACACTTTAATAAAATTTTTATGCAGCATTTTCAAATTATAAAATTATCTTTCTTTGTAAGGTAAGTGTGAAGTTGTTGGAGGCTTTACTGATATACATACTGTGGAAATTAATACATCACTTACCCAGATCTTTATGTTTTCAGTCTGAACAGGTATTCTATCATAGAATGCCTTATGACCCATTCTCAGCACTAGTTGGTCAAATACTGCAGTACCACAGGAAACAGGCACTCATGAACTGATAAAACCCTTCTGTTCCCCAGGCTATGCAATTAAACAAGAGCTGTTTTCCAGTCTGGAGCGATGCTATAATTTAGTTCTACAAGCAGAATGCCATTCTGTTCCCATTTCATGGGAAATTGTATCTATTCTTTCTTTATTCAAGAAAGACAGTCATTGGTTTGAAAGGTCATAATTGACTTTGGAGAACCCTTGAAAGGTTCTCAGTCCTTTTAACCATCCAGAAAGCTGTAAAGGTTTTTTGAAGCACAATGACTTCGGTCTTCATACTGAGCAACAGAAATTTAATCAGGGTACAAATCATCTCTATTCATTTTCTGTTTGCTTCTAACTGAGCAGCATTATTCTTCAGCCTTTTATGTGAGTGCACCATAGAGGTATACCTATTTTCAGTTCCAACTGCAGCAACCCACTTAGGCTAATATGAGGAAATCACTTGTTCCAAAACAGGCATGGGGAAGGACTTGAATGCTTGTCAAAGATCCAGGTAATTAATGTTAGAAAAGGACACTAGTTCTCCCAAGCAGGGGCCTTTTCTGCTTTTTTATCTTATTTTCTTTACACAGCAGTGACTCATCCTTGCCATCATTAACATACGGAATGAGACCTGGAGCAATAAAACCCTAGTACCATTTAACTATTCAAAAATGTCCAGTAGAAAATTGCTGTGCTACTGTCAGCTTAGTGCCCCTTCCTCAAGTCACAGGGTTTTGATGCAGAAGATAGAAGGAGTCATGTTTCCCTTCAAGGAAAATGCCTGTTTCTGGTAGTCTCTGTCAAATGAAGGCAGGCTTGGATGACAGAAAAAAAAAAATCAAACTTGATTTTTTTGTTGTTGTTGGATTATAATGTCATAACAATTCCTACAAAAATGCAAGCAATTTCACAGAAGACTTCAAGCTGTTCACTGGGTCTTGCTCTTATGCAGGCATATGAACAACATAAACATATATAAGTGTGTGCAAGTGTACGTATTTTGATTTTTTATGCATCCATACATATATGTATTTAAATCTCATCACACACAAATGCACAGATGTGCAGCTCTGAAGCTGTGAGTTATCATACTGTTGCTTTGCAGAGAAAGGAAGAGAAGACAGCCTCTATCTCCCCTGTCTTACACTTCCTGACACATTTACTTTGATCTTCCATGGTTCCAAGGGCTGCTTAAGCCAATAACAACTTAATAACTAGTATTGCAATTAGCTGAGCTTGAGCTGATGTTTTGGCAAGTTGTTTTCATACTCCAGCTGAGTCAGGAAGATTTTCGAGGTGGCTTTCACACAAAATAAAGCTATTCAGAAATGCTCAGAAGGGCATTCTCAAAACAATTCCAGTATTTTCCTAGTAAAAAAGTTCGCTTCAGGATTTATCTCATGTCTCTTTCACCAGCCCACTGTGCTCCAGTTCAAAATGTCCTGTG